ATATATATATATAGCCACTTTACCCCAACCGACCTCCCCTTTTCAAAAGCTTTACATTTCGATCGCCACCCCTTCTTCTGATTATTCTTCTTCACCTCTCAAAATCATGAAAAGCTTTCGGCCTCGAGAGCTTAGGGTTTGCCGTTTGTGTTTGTTCCCTAATCTTTACTTTTGTTTATCTTCGATATAGTTTATTTGTCTTCGGTGAGTCGGCCACTCGTCATTGGATTGACTGGTTGATATTTTTGCTTGGTTGTTCGATATTTTTGCTTGTTTCTTGTAAGTCTACCGAGGGGTCATTTCCGAGGTGTCATTTTTTAACATAGTTTCTTTAATATTTAATATTTTTGCCTCTTAGCTTAAATTTTTTATATTTCTTTTAGATTTATTTAATTATTTTGAATGAAACCTAGTTTTTCAAGTTTTTGAGGGTGAAATCTCGCATATTGCCTTTAGATTATAAATTTTCATGAAGGAGATATGATATTATGATTTTGTTGTGAGCTATGCTTCAACTATTATGCATTTGTGCTGTGATTCATATATGTTTAAACGTTAATTTCATAAAGATTTAAACTTTTAAGAGTTTTATAACAATTAAAACAATTTAAAAAAAAAAAAGATTTCGATTAGTTCAAATAATTTAAACATTTTAAAAATTTCACACATTTCAAATATTTTAAATAAATTAAACCGAAAATGATTAGTAACTTCATGAACAATTTCAAATACGAGCATATTTCAAACACACTTAATTTCAAATAAATCGAACACAAACACTGTTTATTTATTTACACTATTAATTAAAATCACATATTTTGATTTTTACTTGACTAAACTAGATGGAAATCATTTTAAAATTCCGTTAATATCCCAAATTTATTTATTCATAAATCAAAAAACAAAAAACCAAAACATGACGACACCACTCTGCCACTGTTAGTGAGTCGTCTTCAAATCTGGTCCGACCCACCACAAATCCTCCCCGCCAGGAAAACAATGGGGATGCAAGCGCGCCTATCCTCGTTCCGGACGTCAGTGATTCATCTTATTTGATTTTTTTTGGGTTAGGGTTTCCTTAGCAAACCTTGTTTTTGGTATATTCTCTGCGTTTTCTCGTTTTTCATCCAGATAGCATCAGAACTCACTGTAGGTTTTGGTATGAAAAATCCCCATTACTTATTTGTGCGTGCTTGTAGGCTTGTAGTTTTCTCCCACATGCTACATTTATTTTCACATTCTGCTTATTTGCACCAGCGAATTTCCATGACCGACTTCATTTCAACAGAATAGCTTCTTTGAGCCTAGAAGGGTGTTGATCATGTTCTCGATGCATAAATTTATAATCTTGATGGCTAAGGACAGAGATTGAGGATAAAAAAAGCGATTTCTATGTTATTGAGGAATGCGTTGTATTTGAAGGAGCTGAGAGTTGGGGTACCAGTGGGCGTGAGATTGAAAGGCATGACCTCTGAAATGCATTCATCTAACCTTCCAATGCCGGCTTCAGACTGGAAGAAAGACAGAGAACTTAAGATTTCTGAAGATTGCAGCGAACACTCGGAGAAGAGTATTACTAAGGTTAGAAATGCATAATGGTGTTTCCATTCATTTAAAATGGAAATGCGGATTAGTTCTTCTTTGATCGAAGCACTTGCTTGACTATTTGTGTGATTGATCCCTCAGGGAAATTCTATTGAATCAGTTGAAATTGAGGAAATTAGAAGCAATCCGGATAAACTTGATTCCATGACTGTGAAGGAACTCAGGACAATGACAAGGTGAGAAAAAATATTATTTTATATACTTTCACCTTTATCTAGAGACATTAGAGTTTATGTTTGTGATGGGTTTTAATATTGTTGTTGCTGTTGTCTGTTCTCCACATTCAAGGAGCGTAGGTTTGTCAACAAGTGGCAATAAGCAGGAGTTGATATCTTCTCTGAAGTTTTTATTGTTTAAAGGTGACAATGTTTTATATTTTTATTGTTTTGGATTTGGTAATTATTATGAAACATTGTTTTTCTTCGTCTGGTGGAGGCATTACGGTGCAATGTGCTGCTTCATTCAGGGAAAACCACAATATCAGAAGGTATGGAGATACTTCCTTTAGCTTCTGAAAATGCTTCCTTTAGCTTCTGGATATGCATCCTTTAGGTTCTGAAAATGCCTCCTTAAAAAGGTGCGCACATTATTTATTCCCCGAGCTCATTCCTCTTGATCAACATGCTATTTTAGATGTCTCGGACAATAAACAAAAGCAAACCAAAAAAAGAAAGCAAATGGTTGAGAGTTCTATAGCTGAAGATGATTCAAAATGTGTTCCGGAGTACAATGAATTGTCTATCAATACAGAAGAAGCTATTGGTATGTATATATGTGTGTGTGTGTGTATTGTGCAGATTGATTTATTATTTGTTTACATGATGAGAAGTTTTGTTTTATGATTGCAGGAGCAAAGCAATCTAGCTTGCAAAAACAGATTTCTTCGAGGGTTCAAAGGCCCCAGAAAGTTTCTACTCAAATAAGTATAGCTGTAGATTCTAATGAACCCTGGACTATGCTTGCACACAAGAAGCCACAAAAGGAGTGGATTCCTTATAATCCCAGAACAATGAGGCCTCCTTCTCTTGATGAGGATACAAACTTTATTAAGCTCATATCCTGGAATGTTAATGGCTTGAGGGCTTTGCTCAAGCTGAAGAGTTTCCCTGCGCTTCAACTTGCCCAACACGAAAATTTTGATGTCTTGTGCTTGCAAGAAACTAAATTACAAGCAAGTGATTATAGATTATTTTTTTCCTCATTAAGGAAACTAAAGTTTGTCCTTTTAGAACCACAAAAACCCATCTGGAACTGAGATAATTTCTACAACAAATCTTCTCATTTCAGTTGTCTAATAGCTGAGTAGTTACGTTTTAACATGAATAGGAGAAGGATGTGGATTTGATCACGAAGAATCTGATTGATGGCTATGATAACAGCTATTGGACCTGTAGTGTTTCAAAGCTGGGTTATTCTGGAACTGCTATTGTATCAAAGGTATTGTTAAATCCCTTTGCCTTTCTTTGCTCAACCTCAGTATTGAGTTGAATCAAATTTCTTAGTTCCCTTTCAACATCCTATCTCGCTTAATGGTCCTTTTCTTTTCTTACTATGGTTCTTTGGCATTCTTTCGAAGAAGATGACTGATAATTATAGGTTTTATCATGAAGGATTAAAGACAGGCTTTACCTATGGATTTATTATAGGTTTGAAATGGCACATGATATGGATACAAGTTGACACAAAAATAAAGATGATTTTTCACTTAAATTAGGGCAAACACGTATGTTATTTCACGGATATCAAATCAAAGCAATAAAACACGAATATATAAATGATTAACACTTAAAATTCGAGAGATATGCAATCTCTTCCAATTACTACAATTCAAGAGATATCCCTCAAACCCTATCCCTAAGATTCCAAGACGACAATTCTCATGTATAACCCTAACTCTAACCTATTAAGCCCTATTATACCCAACACTAATAATAATAAAAGGTTTATTTGACTTTAGGCTAATAAAAGACAAAATTACCCTTAGGTTGGTGCGCAACAATACCCCTCCCAAAAAGTCTCCTCAAGATATAAAAAATTGACGGTGTTCCTCCTTCTCTATGGAAATCATCTTTGTTTCTTCATCCCCTACCTACTAATCACATGTTGTGAGAACCTGTAATGTTTGATTCTTACAACGGTGTTCCAGGGAAAACTTCTCATCGCACAGAAAATGTAACCACTGGCTTGCCTGTTCTAAATCTGTGTCTCTATAAGACACTTGAAGTTGACCCCTAGACAAACCCCCAATATTCTTCTCTTTCGGCATCTCTCCCTGAAATGACATCATCTAGGTCTTCGCTGTCATGGCCGTTGAGGCAATCTTGTGGAATTCTTCCATGGTGCTACTTTTGTTGGACTTCTCTATGTGGTTATTGTCCTCCACCATATGGGTTAGCTCTATCGTCTCTTTCAATTCCCGCGGTCTCCATAGTCGGAGTGTTGCCCATATGTCGGGCTTTAGGCTCTTCACCAAATTTCTCTCCAATCATATTTCAGAAATCTCCCCCCAGTTGTCCCAACGGTAGCTCGTTTCTCTTCCCATATTCCATGACAGTCATCTCCTGAGTCAAGACATATAATTACTTGTAGAGGTCTTTTTTCAGAATTGCTTGAAAACGTTCCAACAGACAATCCTCAAACTCCTCCCTTGATCGGATTAGGTATCTAGCCTCCCTCCACTTAAACCATGCCAGAGCATTCCCTTCTAAACATAACCCTACCGCTTAAAATTCTAATTCCCATTTAGCCCGTTCACCACTTCTCTTCCCATATTCCATGACAATCATCTCCTGAGTCAAGGCATATAATTACTTGTAGAGGTCTTTTTTTAGAATTGCTTGAAAACGTTCCAACAAACAATCTTTAAACTCCTCCCTTGATCGGATTAGGTATCTAGCCTCCCTCCACTTAAACCATGCCAGAGCATTCCCTTCTAAACATAACCCTACCGCTTAAAATTCTAATTCCCATTTAGCCCGTTCACCACAAAATATCTCACCTGTTAAACCTACCCATGTGCATTTTATCCCTCGAAAATCGGCAGCTTCAACTTCCTAACCCTAGCATCTCCACCCCAAATTTCTCTTCATCCGGTGTTACCCCCATGTATTAAGGGTAAAACTCTCTCATTCATACATAGTTTTTCCTCATTCAGTCTTCTCTCATTCCTTCTTCATATTCATCCACCCATGCTTCGACCTAACCACATTCATTAGAATAATCCACCCCTCATTAGAGTGCTATGAGGAGTTCTTGATGATGGATGCTTTCTTCTTTATGCTTCACATTTTTGATCTCTTTCCCTTTTGGTCTGATCACAAAATTTTTGGTTAGCTCTTGGTTTGAGTTTGAAAATTGAGCCGCCAGCGAGGTCTTGAATTGTTTCGCAATAAACTTTTTTATCTTCTTCAAGTTCTCGAATAGGTTTTCCATGCAAGAAAACTCTCCTATGGTGGAGAACCTTTTCTCCATCTCGGATTTAAGTTGGGTATTCTTTTTCTCTAATTTCTTCCCCAAATCATCTACTTTCTTTGTTGTCATCATTCCTCAACAAGTTTTCGATCACAAAAGGCGGAAACACTTGTATCTTGAAATGTCGTCGATGGTTTTGAGATAGTCTAAATTGTGTTCATATCGCGGTTATCTCAATTTGATTTGAGTGCACGCTAGAATTGAAATGGGAGAAAGATGAGAGTTTTGGGTATCTATATGCCATGTAAGATGGAAGTCTTGATCCTCTGTATGATGCATCGTTGCCTTCTCAACAAGCTTTAATCATGAATTTATCTTATCTGCGGAGTGGGAGGAGGATAGAGATCGGCGTTTTTATACTCTGTAAGCTACGATCCCAGCATTGCCTTCTCTGCAAGCTTCAATCGCGATTGTATCGCGGAGGGAGGTTTTGGGTCTCAGTAAGCCGTAATCTCGCCATTCCCTTCTTTGCCAATTTTCTCTGTCGCGATGGAGGTGAAAGATAGGAGATTCGAGTCTCTTCCTTGAGCCCGTTGTCGCTTTCTGGGCTCGACCGCGACTCTGTCTCACATACGGATGCGGGAGGTCTCTGCCGCGAACTGGACTTAGAATTATTTTTAGGCCACAATCCTTTCTTCTTCCTGGATTGAAGCACTTTGATACCACTTTGATACAATTCAACATAGAAATCGACATGAATTTTTATAGAAATTAGCAGAAATACATATTTTATTACAATTTCACGAATACCAAATCGATGCAATACAACGCGAATACATAAAGGATAATACTTACAATTTGAGAGGCAAATGATCTCTCCAAGTCCTACAATTTGAGAAGTAGGAATTCGATCACAAACTCTAACCCTAAGACTCCAAGACAACAATTCTCATGCATAACCCTAACATTAAGCTATTAAGTTCTATTTATATCCAACAATAATAATAATTAAAGACTAATTTGTCCTTAGGCTAATTAAAGGCAAAATCGCTCTTGGGCCGGTTCATAACAGATACTTGTATGGATTATTGTAGCTAATTTATAATGGTCCATTTCTATATGTTTTGTTATTTGAACTGACATGCTATTTAGATTATTCACCTTGTTTCCTATAGCATTCCTTATTAATTTTTTTGGCATGAGTTAAAATGCCGACGCATGCGAACTGATGCCCTCTTGTCAGGGTCTAACTATTTAATTTCTTAAGTAGAAAAAGCCAATCTCAGTTAATTATGGACTCGGCATAATGGATCACGATACTGAAGGGAGAATTTTGACTGTGGAGTTCGATACGTTTTACTTGATAAGTGGATATGTACCTAACTCTGGAGATGGCTTGCGGAGATTGGTAATGGGATATCTTTTTTTTGTTGAATATTTTCTTTCTTGTTCTTTCTTTGATGTAAAAAACATCACTAAGTTAAAATGATATTGTTACCTTAAATTCTTGAATTTGTTATTTTCAGGCTTACAGGGTTGAACAATGGGATCCATCGCTTAGCAATTACATGAAGGTGAGTCTAATTATCGTTATTTTCATCATTAGATCAAAGCAACAGCTGTAGCATTCATTTTTCTCATCCCAAGTGTTTGTGGTCTGCTTTTTGATGGTAACGAATTTTAATAAATTGTCGTAGTGATAGGGTAATGTTTGTAACCTTTCCCCTAATTTTTCAATGGAAGGCTCTGTTTTTTTCTTTTTTTCTTGGTCATTGCGTCTGATAGTAAAATTGGATAAATTCTGATATTTTTTCTTGCTAATCATAATGCTATTTCCAATGGATTATTATGTATGGAACATGGACATGATTTTTTAATGCTTTTTATTAAGGGCACTGAGGAATAGGTTGTAGGCTTATTTCTCAGATGGATCTCCTTGAGTCAAAGGCCACAAAATATTATTTTTGTTTTTTTATCCCACATTGCATATGAACCAACATTTTTGGCCTTATCCATTGTATTCCTATGATGAAAAAAAAAAAAAACACACCACCACACACTCCGCCACACCTCCATGCACCCAACACATCCACAGGCCACACCACCTCCCCCCCCCACATCACACACACCACCACACCTCCAACATCAACACACACCACACCTCCCTAAACCCTCCGCACACCCAATAACACATCCATACACCACACCGCCACATCACACATTAGTGGATCAACGACAACACACAACACACAATACACCACCACTCCATCACACCACCACACCACATACACCACACACAACACATAACACACCACCACGCCACAGACACCACACACCATCACACACACCACAACAACACATCCACACACACCACAACACCACCACACCTCCATAAGCCCTCCACATACCCAACCACGATAGCACATCCACACCACACCACACCACACCACACCACATCAAACCACCACTCCACAACATCACGACACACCACAACTCAATATTCATCTGTTAGTATTGTAATTCATTAAAAAAAGAAGAAGGAAAACTTAATGTTCTCAACAAAACTACAACTGTGAATATCATTAAAACAATATTTATCTCTATACAAGACAACCTCCATTTTATAGAACGGTTCCTTTAATCTTAATTATGAAGATTCCTAAATATATTCTATTATAGATAATAAAAAATGGATTGTCATTTTTATATTTGGCACAAACACTATGCCTTAAGGTTCTCAGTATTTGCTGGGTTATGTTTAATGAATGGCTTAAAAACAATTGCTATCCTTTTCTTTTGCAATATACACATTATAACAATCTGCAAATTTAGTTGCTCTAAGGATGTGACAAAGTGTCATTTACCGTTTGAATGTAACTTCAATTTGGATATACTTGCTATTGCTTACCCATGGCTTCTTCCATTCATTTTAAGAATATTTTCAACTTCTCTTCTATTTTCATGATATGAAGAGTGCAACTTCTGCAATTAAAAATTATTACGATCTTATGATTCGGGCAAATACATACAGACCACAACAAACCACCACATTACAACAATACAACACAACACAACATGCCTCCTCTCAAGCTTAAAATTCTTCAAATCCAACACTAAATTTCAACTAAAAAATAAAACCATTCACATTTGTCAGCAGGCCTCCCAACAAGATTGTAGCTGATCATAACGCTTCATTCCAACTCAAAAACAAATCCAAATCTTGCTCTTCTTCTCAAATTCTGAAACAACGGCCAAAATCCCACCACACCAAAAACAAAACCATTCACAGATGCAAATCCTACCATAAAAACAACACCCAAAAAAGAAATCCCCATCATACCAATAACAAAATCATTAATAGGTGCAAAAAACCGAAACAACAGCCGAAATCGACCCCCAATAAGGCCTCCTCCGCTTCTCAAATTCTCACTCAAATATCAAATTCTCACTCAACCATCACCAAATTCCAACTGAAACATCAAATAGGATCAACAACCGAAACTAACCCAATTATAAATATAAAAATCTCAAAAAACCATAAAATCTCAAAAAATGGGTGCTACGCAGAAAATATAAGAAACCCATCAAGCAAATTCACGGAGAAACTCTGTGCAAACCAATGCGGCTAACATAAGAAATTCACCAAGAAAATGTAAGGGATATAGGATACCATAAGAAGAAGCAAACGTCTGGAAACCCTCCTCACAGGTGTCAGAGAATGAAGTTAAAGAAGACGGACAAATGCAGTACGAGGACGAGCGGGGCACAAGAGAAAGCGCGAGAGCTACGGAGCAGGTTAGGGTAGAAGATGCGAAGCTGGGGTAGAACGATACTCGAAGCCGGGTAGCACCTCGGTAAAAATAACACAAAGATATGTGGGGCGCGGGGTCGAACCCGCAGCCTACGTTTTATCGAAAACGCGACGCGCCGTAGCTTGGATGCCTCCCCAAATGCCGCGATTCGGCGGTTTGAAACCACGCAATATAAGTGCAAATGATTACACAATGAAGGGATTTCCTTTGGAGCCATTCGTGTTTAGCATTTAATACAGTAACAGCATATGCTTGTTAAATTGTTATATAAACTTTCCTGTTTAATTAAAACATTTTCTTGATTGTGCTGGAGATATTTGTGACTTTACATTTGCGTGAAAGATATATTTATTCTGAAACTGAATTTTATGTATCTAAACATGTGCTAATTAGACTTTTTTTTCTTTTGAGAAACTCTCTTCTACAGGATAACTTGAGTGCTATTATGTGTTTTATAATGGCTCAACAATGAAAAAAGTGTATTAACATTTGGTAGTGGAAATGAATTTCAGAAGCTTGATTGGCAATTGATTGGACACGTAAAATCACAATTGGCTGAATTTAGGATGTGAAATCTCCTTGCTTTAAGTCGAGGCATTTTTTTTGTGTAGTTGTCTGAATGGCGAAAATAATGATGGTGGTAATAAGAGTGCATGAGGGAAATAACAAAATATTATAAATTGATCGAGTAAAATGAGATAAGCTATCTCAGAGATGAATTCTTATTATCGCTGATGAATTAATAGAGGGTTAGTTTGGTATAGACAATATTCTCCCGCTGGGAAGTGTTTTATTATTTTTAGTTTATCGAAAGGGTAGATCTTTGAGATGATACGGTTGCTCATGTAATTAATAGATAAATACATTATTGCCTTGGTTTCCTTTACCAAGAGATGACAATTTTTGCTGTGCATTTGCAAGATGATTATGCATTAGGTACACCGCTCCCTAGTCCTAATTTTGTTTTTTTGGATTCATTCAAATTAAAAGGGTGATCTTTCATCCTTATTAATAATTTTAGGAATTTTTTCATGGAAAATAACGATATTATCTTTTAGCATTTAGATCCATGAAGTTCCAACATTTTTTATTTCAACTTATAAATAAAAGGATTAGAGTTAATTTGAAGCATAAAGCTCAACCCTAAGATTATGGAGCATTAATAAAAGCTAATCATAACAATACAAGGAAGGAAATACAACAACAAGCCTTTATCCCACTAAGTGAGGTTGGCTACATGAATTATTTTACTCCATTGCATCCTATTGAGTGTCATATCTTCATTTAATTTTAATATTTTAAGATCATTTTTTATACAGTATGCCCAAAATTTTTTAGGTCTGCCTCTGCCTTTCTTAACATCAGTCGAATCTAAAACATCTACTCTCCTAACTGGAACATTAGATTGTCGAGATTTAAAGTGACGAAACCATCTAAGACGACTCTCCTTAATCTTGTTTACCACTGGAGCTACACACATTTATTCATTTCACATTGTCTTTCGCATTTCGTCTCAAAGTGTGAGCCACACATCCACCTAAGCATTCTCATCGACACTTGACTTTGTTTTATGCTTCTCTTTTAAAGAACGTCATTTTGCATCATAGAGCATTGCAGGTCTTTCCACCATCTTATAAAATTTTCCTTTAAGTCGAAGAGGTCTTTAAGTTGAAGAGGTACTTTTCTATCACACAATAGGGCTGATGCATTCCTCCACTTCAACCAACCAACTTTCAACCAACCAACTTAAATTCTACTAATAACATCCCCATCTATATCACCATCGCTTCGAACAATAGATCCAAGATATCTAAAAGTTTACACCTTTTAATGATTTGATCACCCATTGTTATAACTCTGCCACTAGAGCTACCACTACCAAAATTACATTCCATATATTTAGTTTTAGATCTACTCAAACAAAGGCTTTTAGACTTCAATGTTGACTTCCATAAATCAAGTTTTTTTCTAAATCCTTTCTCTAATCTTATCCACAAGAAGGATATCATCAACGAAAAATATGCACCAATACGAAAAGTATGCACCAATGTACATCCTTCTGTAAATGTCTAGTAAGAGCATTCATGTACATCCTTCTGTAAATGTTTAGTAAGAGCATTCATAACTAGAACAAAAAGATCTGGGCTTAAAATCGATCTTTGATGTAATCCAAATGAAATAGAAAAATACTTGGTCAATCCATCTTTTGTTCCAACACAAGTAACAACTCTAGTATACATATCTTTAATGACTTGAATATAAGTCGTATCAACACCTTTCTTCTTTAAAACTCTGCAAAGGACCTCTCTTGGAACCTTATCGTAAGCTTTTTCTAAATCAATAAAAATCATATGTAGATTCTCCTTAGTCTCTTGTATTTCTTTATCAAATCTCTCAATAAATATATAGCTTCCATAGTAGACAGGCCCGACATAAATTCAAACTGATTATGAGAAATATTTATATCACGTCTTAACTTGTGTTAAATTACTAATTACCCTCTCCCATAATTTTGAACTATAGACACATCAACTTAATTCCTCTATTATTTGCACACACTTGTGCATCCCTTTTGTTCTTAAAATTGGGGACCAAAATACTTTTCTTCCACTCACTCATCTTTTGAGTTTTTAAAATAATATTAAAGAGTTTAGTGAGCTAAGAAACTCCCAAATCTCCAAAATATTTCCACATTTCAATTGAGATATTATCAGATCCTATTGATTTTCCACATTTGGTTTTCTTTAAAGTCTCATCAACTTTTTTTTACTAATGCGATGATAAATTCAATATTTTATTATTATTAATGATATTAAGATCACTAAGATCGATTATATTTTCAGAAATTTTATTGAAAAATTTATCAAAATAGCTCACCAACCTATGTTGAATATCTTTCTCTAAGAAAAACACTTTTTGATTTTTCATCTTAATACACTTGAATTAAATCCTTACGTTTTATTTCTCTTTGTTTGGCTAGTTTATACATTTATTTTTCACCTTTTTTAGTATCTAATCTATTATAAAGGCCACTAAAAACAGAATTTTAAACATTACATAATGTTCTCTTAGACACCTTACGGGCAACCTTATTATTTTTCTTGTTCTCTAAGTTCTTATATGTAAGTCAATTTTTATAATGCAACTTTTTATATTTTATCATTTCTTACACATTATTATTCCACCACTAACTATTTTAATTTATAAAAAAAATTTCATTTTGATTCTCTAAGTACATCTTTTGACACTTATTTAATAGTGTTTGTAACTTTATTCCATATAGAATCAGCTTCTTTATGAATATCTGAAATCTAGAAATCTTGAAGTTTTCTCATAAAAATATTTTTATTTGTCTTTTAGGTGTCTCTATCTCATTTTATGACAATGTTTCATTGTGTATTCTTTATCTCACAACTCATCATTTTAAAACCTAAAACTATTAATCGATGTTAAGTACTTAAATTTTCACTTGGAATGACGTTACAATCTTTACATTTTCGACATTATCTGTCTCATAAGAAAATAATCAATGTCTTTTATTAGATCCATTCTTATAAGTAATAATATATTCATATTTTCTTAAATAAAGTATTAGTAATAACAAAATAACATGCTAAAATAAAATCTAATATGATTCTAAATTCTTCATCAATCACTCTAAAACCGTAGCCACCATAAATATTTCTAACATGCTAAAATAAAATCTAATATAATTCTAAATTCTTCATCAATCACTCTAAAATCGTAGCCGCCATAAATATTTCTAAAATTTTCTATCACTCTACCAACTTCTCCATTTAAATCTCCTCCATTAAAAATTTTTTCATTAAGAGTTATCATTTATATTAACTCTTCTTGGTCATTCCAGATTTTTTTTCGAACTTATATCTAAACCTATTTGAGGAGTATGAACACTTATAATATTAAAAATCTTACTATTTACTACAATTTTTAGGGCTATAATTCTATGTCTAATCTGATGAATTTTTACAATATTATATTTAAAATTCTTGTCTTTAATCACACTAACGCTATTTCTAGTGTAACTCTTACCTGAATGCCAAAGTTTAAAGCCTAATCTATCAATCTCCTTAGCCTTTTTTTCAACCCATGTAGTTTCTTGAATACATAAGTTGTTTATCTTCCTATGAACCATAATATCCACTAATTTCATTAATTTACTTGTGAGATCACATATATTTTAAGATCCTATCCTAATATTAATTTCATGAACTAACCTGTTTACTCGGAGACGCTCATAATGTGAGAACTCTTCCTTATTTGACACTACTCCCAGGCACCGGTGTTGCTGCTCTTGCACACTTTTCACTGTATTCAGACCATACAGTGCGTCGCTTCCAAGGCGCCCTAAAGAAAAAATGTTATTTTATGGTTTATGCTTATTATAATTATTCCATTATACAAGAAAAATGTTTTTGTTTTCAATATAAAAGTCAAATGTTTTTAAAAGATTGTCCAGCAACGAGGCTATTGTTTCTGTTACTTCTGTCATCTGTTCTGATTTTTGACAAGTCTTCACTGATTGTTGGGAAAATTGTCTCTTCAATTATATACGGGAATGAATGTCATCCAATCATTCATTTTTGCGCTAAATGTTTTATCAGAATCTCCCTTTTTGAAGCTTTATTGATATAAATTATGATAGATAACAAGGTACATGCAAATTCAAATAATTTACCTTTTGTTGAAGCGACAATGCTTGTATTTCCTAGTTTGTTTTATTCATTTCGTGATTATTTGCTGCCATGCTTAGAAGAACAATATTTCAAAAGCTATCTATGTAATGAAAATTTAGTTGGCCTCGAGTTTTTTAATCATTTTGTGCGACTGTTGGAACTGTTTTACAGGAACTGGAAAAAGTAAAACCTGTGATTTTAGCTGGTGACCTGAACTGTGCTCAAGAAGAGATTGACATCTATGATCCTGCGGTATGTATCTGATATTGCCGTTGTATGGTATTTGATCAATTTTTAACAACAGTGGCTTCGTTCAATAATGCTGTGCTGTGCTATATGAATTAAAGTCACCAACACTACCATAGATAAGGTCTGTTTGCTCTGCAAGCGCACAGCTAATGAACAGCCTTTGAAAAATTTCATGTTCAATAGGATTTTCCTTTCCATGTTTACCAATCAAACCAAAATAATAATATACCATGTTTTTGAAAAAAAAAGTACTACAGAGAAGCATTATATTTTGAAGTCTTAGCTTGTTTTGTGATTAGTTTGTTTTTGGTTAGAATACAACTGCCATCTATGTTGGATTTTTAGGAAGATTTTATTTTTAGTATTTTCTATTATTATTTTCTATTTTTAGAATTTAGATTATTGGTATGTCATAATTTCTATTTTTTTCTTTTATCTTGGGGAGTTATGACTGATATTATTATTTTTCTAATGAGGGAGTAGGGGTGTAAACGAACCGAACACATTTTTTATGAAATTGAAGTGGAATATTTTCCCCTCCTAAAACTTTCATGTTATCAAACCAGACTTTCGTCTTCGAAACAACAATTTAATCTCGTTGATCGTCTGAGGGTTTTATCATTTCTCTCTCTCCCTTCCCGAGTTCGCCCAATGCCATGTTTTTGTGATTGACCCCTTGCAAGAAAGTCTTGATTAGAGCTATTTGGGATGGCAAGGACTAGATCGTTGCGTTCAGAGATCCCTCATGGTACAATCATGATTAGAGGTTTGGAAGACAACGACTTGATTGCGGCGTTCAGAGACCCGTCGTGTTACAGTCGCCATTAGAGCCAACTAGGAAGGCAATGAACGTTCAGGGACCCAACGTCACCTGATTCACAGGTCAATCCCGTATTTGAACTAGGGCGTGTTTGTTTTTTTCCCCCGTGGTAGCCACTAAACATGTGTTGTTGCTCTTCTCAGATTCTGAGGATGTCACAAATCATCAGTGGTGACAAAAGTTCAAATAAATTCTACTACATCAACTGGTTTCATTAATTCTGAAATCACCTTATCTCACTATATAGTTGCTCTCATGGTTGTATCGGCTGAATATATTTTTCAAAATTTATTACCTTACCTTATATTTTTCTCAAAACCTAGCACCTTACCTCACAATTATATCGAGTGCGCTCAATCTATAAAATTGGCTTTCGACAGGAGAGGTAAAATTTGGTATTTAACTAGAGAAATCTCAAAAGACATTGCTAACAATCTAAATATGAAAAAATGGCAGGCTGAAAATTCTTTGATGATGGCATTGCTCATTGATTACATGGAATCTATCATTAGTAAAGCTTCATCTATTCCTTCCCACTAGTTGAGATATCTGGGAGGTCGTTCGAGATCTCTAATCAGACTTGGAAAATTCTTCACAAACTTGAGTTGAAAACTCAACTTTGGAAATCCAAACAAAATGAGCGTGATGTTACTATGCATTTAAATGAGTTGATAACATATGGCAAGAGCTTGATCAAGTTATGATGACATTTGAGAGAATTCAAATGCTTATGCTTGCAATAAGAATATAGAGAAAGACAATCCAGTCTACTTGCTCTTAATCGGCCTTAATCAGACTATAAATAAATTCTAAGGTCGAAGCGTTGGTAGGAAATCTCTACCATTGATTTGAGATGTTTTTCTCAAGTTAGACATGAAGAGTCAATTATCTGGGAGTTTGGGGGAGTGCGGGGGACCTAGCCGCACAGGAACCGGTTTATTCCAGGCATCTAAGTGGTTGACCAACCCTTCTAGGCGTGGAAGTGCAACCCAATGGGAGTGAGACCCACTCTTAGTTATCCTAGGGTTATTTATATGTTTTCATTTGTGTCTAGGGTTGTTTTTAGTGTGTTTGTTTTGGCACACATATTAGCGTCTCTATTTTTTCTTTTAGGTAATATCCAAAGGTTTGTGCGGTGTTCCAACTATATCTCGCTATCGTGGTGATGATTATCCTTCCTCTACCCATCCACATCCTTGCCGCATTACTCCTCGCCTCCCTTCGTGAAGTTGCCCAAAACTATTATTCCTCTGTTGTTTTTATGTACTTCCAACTTGCACCATCACCTTCTTCTTCCATCCTTACTGTTGCAATCCCCAAACCGCCTGTATCCTCAACGCCATCAGTCACAACCTCCCTTTTCTTGCTGTTGCCGCCCCAGGACAGTGAGGTTTTGCTGTACCTGCTACTTCAATCCCAACTGCCTGCCGTTGCCGGCCTGGACAACCAACCTCTTTGCCGCCTAGCTGTTTCTCACCTCTTCTAGCTCTTGTCGCTTGCCCAAACCACTACATGTTGTGTATCTCCCTTCCCATTTGTTGCTGTCACTTTCCAAACCCTCCTAACCGACACCCCTCCACCCTGGATGCCCCATCTGTTATCATTTGTTGGGTCTGTTGCATTCTCAGATGTTTGTTTGTTTTGTTGTAAATTTCTAGTTGAGATCAACAATAATATTTATTTGTCATTGTTGTTTGGGTTAACTGCGGTATCATTTGGTATCAGAGCTAGTCTAATTCTGGTCCTACTTAGGGTTACCAAAATCAGCCACCAATTTTTTTCCCTACTCTAAACCACCCCTTTCAACCCCTCCAAACCTAAACCCTAGCCATGACACCGAGGAAAGAAGTGTCGGAAGCCAATCGGGAACTTTCTATGGAGGATATGCACTGTGAAATCTTCTAACTGCAACAGAGGCTCGCTGCATTCAAGAGGATACACCCATCGCCACAAGGGTGTCATCAGATCGAAACGACGAGGTGAATTCCTTTCCAGTGATGAACCACTCAAAAGACTTGAAATGGAATATAAGAGGAGAAACCGAGATCTTGAACTAAATGTGGATTTATCGGATTTTTACCGTCGCAGGGATCTGAAAGAATGTATTGAATGACTCCAGAACGTGGAACGTGCCTTTGAATACAAGGACCAGATAGAGTGGTAAAGCTAGCCACCAATAAGTTAAAGAATATTACGTTGCAGTGGTGGAAAAATTTGAAGCACTTACGCTAGCATGAGGAAAATACAAAATCACTAATCTGATCTAAGATGAGAAGGGAGATGCGGCGAAATAAATGATTCATGTGTCATGGTTTTGGCCACGTGGTATATGATTGCCCGGAGCAATCATTTTCACTGAATATGGAGTAGCTGAAGAAATGGACAGTGACAAAAAAGAGGATGAAGCCTTCAGGGTGGAATCTCAATTTTCAACCAACGATGAAGAGACACCTGCGATTTAAGCTGAGCTGATGAGAGACACTCCGCCAGTATTAACATTAGTTGTTTTAGAAAGTAGTGAGTCTGAGGTAATGAGCGTTTATGCAAATTTTATGGATATGGTGCGACAAACTATCTTGTCGCAGACAATAAGATAAGCATCAACATGATTAACATTGGTTGTTCAAGAGGGTCATAAGTTCGAGCAACTGACACTAGACACATAATAACTTCAAATAAGATAATTTCATTATTTTAATACATACAATCTACCTCTTAAGTTGCCACTGCTGAGGCACATTCGATATGTCAAAGTTGAGAAAGTTTTGAGCTAATTATGAAAGGCTACTTAATTTAGGTATAAATTTCAGTTTAGTTCAACAACACCTCCATAATCAGATGGCCAGACAAGCATGGCGAATTGCACTTTTGAAATATTTTCTTAAAGTGTTTTGTGGGAAAGAATATTTGATAGTGGGTTCTAGGTTCTTCTAGAGAAGAAGAAGAGACATCTTGTGAGTGGTTATCATTAAGATTTGCACAATGGGCCCTAGATTTTGTTCTAGAGTTGATTCCTCTTGAAAAAGTTGTTTATAAGATACACTAAATGGAGTACGATGAGTGGGAGAAACATATTGCATATTTAATGGCTCGAGACTTAATTTGTGAGAAAACTCATTCGTGTGCGATTCCAGCTCTTGTTGTTCCAAAATAAGATGACTACTTATTCTATCAAAATATGCTTTATAATGACGTGCACGATTTAGAGTTGTCTTGTGTAGACGTGAGCATATATTTTATAATGGGATATTTTGTGAAGCTCAAACCTAGAGCAGATGAATCTTTCAAAATTCTCAAGAAGCTGAATGATAGCACTTACAAGATTGATTTGTTGGGAGATTTCGACGGTTTTGCTAATTTCATCGTGGCTGCCTGACTCCATACTATGAAAAGACAGAAGTTGAAGCTGCCCAATGTCCCGAAGAGACAGATGTGGGCATTTGGGGGAGTGCGAGACGTCTCGGCGCACAGTGATCTGTTCGTTCCAGGCATCTAAGGGACCGATCGACCCTTCCATGTGTGGAAGTGCAACCTAATGGGAGTCGAGCCCATTCATAGTTATCCTAGGACTATTTATGTGTTTTCGTGGTGTCAGAGGTAATTTTTCTTGTGTTTTTTTGGGACAGCCATAAGCTTCTTTATTTTCCCTTTTAGGATTATAGCCAAGGGTCCTTGTGGTGCTATGGTTGTATCTCGCTCCCAAGGTGCTCTTCTCCATCCTTCCTGTTCTCTTGATTATCCAAGCAATACTATATCAGGAGAGAGTCTGTCGAGTTTTTTTAATATTAATATTTATACAATTTGAAGGTTTCTTGAACAAGAGAAAGATGATGAAGAAATATGAAGAAGCTTGAATGTTCTTAATTAAAAAAAAAACAGCAACACCTTTTTTAAATTGTCGCCCAATACAAAACAGAGAAAAAGGAAAGTTATTAATGCTCCGTAATCAATGCCCATAAAAATAGCTAAAAGAAATCAAAATTCTAAAACAAGATTTAAAGAAAATAAAAATAATTCCTTAATCCTAGGCAGTCTTAAGCAAATATTCCAACACTCCTTGCCTTAGGAGCTGCGAACACTAATTTTCTGCCTTAGAAATTAAAACCTGCTAACTGGAAGTGCCTTTGTGAACAAATCTGCCAACTGATCTTCAGATTTGCAATAAGTCAGTCACATTTTTCTT